GGGGGCCTTTAAGTTATTTGGAAAAGGGGGTTTACCGGGCCGGATTTGAGGGGGGTGGACCCCCCCCCCCCCCCCCCTCAGAAAGAGTGCTCATGGGACGCACACATAGCGAAGTTGATTGGGAAGGGTAAAGCTCAGATAGGCAAGATGGACGAGATCCTTACGGACCCACACCTAGACACTAGGATTAAGAGGTGTATTGTCTTGAATGTGATTGTACCTAAGCTAGAGTATGCAGGAGAGGTATGGGAAGGTAACGAAAAGGCCGTCAAGCAGCTGGAAACGATGCAGATGGCAGCGGCCAAGAAAATACTAGGATGTTCAAGTACAACGAGCAACACTGCTGTATTGAGAGCAGAATTGGGAATGTACTCTCTTAAAACAAAGAGAGACATGCAGAAGTTGAATTGGCAGTACAAGGTAAGTAGAATGTCGGACGATAGACTACCAGCCATGGTTGACAAGGCAGCTTGGGGAAAAGCGAATCCAGGGAAGAAGGGAATCAAATGGGACAAGGTGGTAGAGAAGGTTTGGAAGGAGATAGGAGACGAGGAGGAGACGTTGGACACGGAAGGGTTCGGGGGGTTCAAGACGGAAGTCAAGGAGATGCTAGAGAGTAGATAGGAGGCAACCCTTCGGAAGAAGGTACGAAGCGAAGACCACTTGGAGATATACGGGAAGTTGAAAGAAGGGATACGGATGAAGACGTACTTGGACGGCCCCATGGACTACGCGAAAAAGCTGAAATTGCAATTTCGAGTAGGCGATCTGGACTTGCCAGAACGGAGGAAGAGGCATACTAGCCGTAGGAGAGAGGACGAGGAGGATAGACACACATGTCCATGTGGCAAATCGGAGGAGAGTAGACCCCACATAGTTGGGGAGTGTGAGTTGTACAGGAAGGAAAGAGAGGATCTCGAGGAGGAAATGAGACAGAGAGGGTGTGACATGGACAAGTTTGGTAAATTAGACAACAGCGAAAAAACGATCGTGATAATTGGGGATAGATGGTGGGCACAAGAGACCCTAGAGGACGGGGATAAGATGTGCAAGAATTTTTTTATGGAGTTTGTGGCAGAAACGTAAAGAGCTCCCAAATATTGGTGGTGTCTCTAGTATGGGTAGGAACGGTGCTCCGTCTCGAAAGGGACGCGTGGTCAATGGTCAAATGACTACGGCAAGCAACAAATGAGTACGCCCCCCCTCATTCCCCACCGCAACGACCTCTTCAGCTCAATGCGCAAGGGCGCGCCCGGCCCGAGATCGCTGCCCTGTACAATTGGCGCTACAAGGACCTCGGCAACCTGGCTCTGGTGCAGACGAAGCCGCAGTACCTGACAGCCAACGCCGGATTCGGGTACGACTACCAGATGATCGACGTGCCCGACTTCGAGGTGAGGATGTAGGCGGGGAGACTTCATAGGCGCCGAAATTAAACCATTGGGACTAGTTCGCCGATAAACTCTATTGAAGCCGACATTACACCGTTGGGACTAGTCAGCCGGCCGACTGTCTTCGTTAGAAGCCCACATCAAACCGTCGGGGCTAGTGCCGACTGACTTGTTTAGAAGCCGAAACCAAACCATTCGACCATCATGGTCAGCGCTGACTAGTATTGTCTAATGGTTTGATTACAGGGATGGGGAGAGACGACCCCCACGGCCCTGCTTGAGGTTTTTCTAGCCGGTTACACTTGTATATTTTTTCAAATGTTTGGCTCGTTTCCTTCTGGTTGTTGTTGTTGTTGTTGTTGTCTTCACGCATCTGGTAATCTTTGTTTGTTGCCCCTCTTGTTTTTTTTTTTTTTTCTCGAAGGTAGCTTGGTTCCCCCCAGCTTGTTTTGTTTTTTACCCTTGTTTTTTCTTCTCTTTTTTTTCAGAGACGGGGAGAGACGACCCCCACAACCGCGGTTCTCACCTTTTTGTCGCGCGTTGCATTTTTTTTCTTCAATGATTTGGCGCGTTTTCCCTCTGAAGATTAATGTTGGTTTTTGTTTCTTCTCAATGATTGACCCGTTTTCCTTGCCTGTTTTTTTTGTTTTTTTTTGTCAGGGACGGGGAGAGACGACTCCCACGGCGTTCTTCTACCAGAACCTCGGGGAAGCAGAGTACGTCGTGGCCACCTACCAGTACATGCGGCTGCTGGGCTACCCGGCCTCCAAGATCTCCATCCTGACGACGTATAACGGGCAGTGCCAGCTGATCGAGGACGTGGTGAAGCAGCGGTGCGCGAACAACGACCTCTTCGGGGAGCCTGGGAGGATCGCTACGGTGGACAAGTACGTGGTGGTATTCACACATAATATGATGTAGATAAGATCGAACCTGACGTCGGTCTGTGCGTGATCGCTGCGGTCGAGAAACACGTAGATAACCAGATTGACACGTACTTGGTGGTACATAGTATGAAATCACATGTATCCATACATCGCATACCGCACCCAATGTCCCGCCTGCGGCGAAGTTTGAATGGGTACTGAAAGCTGGTGGACAAATGCACGCACATTGGATCGCTTCGGTACTGGATATATGTACCGACAGTCTGTGCAGCACATGAGATGACGTATATACAGCCTCTGGACGATAGTACGACACCCGCTGGTGATATTGGTGCTGCTCAACGTTAGGCCCGAAACATTAAACTAGTCCAAGATGAAAGTGATGTGGCGACATGAAGATCTCACACAACAATGACAAAAACACCCCCGGCGATTGTTGTTTCAGAAGCCAGAATGATAACGTTGTGTTTCTCCTGAGCCCCAACCTCCCGAGGCAGCGTCAAAGCTGCACTGCTTTCTCTTTCTGGATGCCCCCCTCCCACCCTCCGATAGGTCATGGAAAACATTTTTGAGCCACCTTTGGCAAAGTAGGAAGGACAGATTGGCCATCGATGATCGGTCCTGTGTGAACAATGCTCCTTCCTTGAACCAGGAAGCATGGTCAATGGTCAATGGTCTAACCGCTAGAGCATGCAAAACACGAATACGCCCACGCCGTCGGCCTCCCTCTCACACTCCGTGCCCCCCCCCCGAAAAAGCGTGAAGTGCAGTGTGTCCACTACTGGGAAAACTAAAGAAGTTTTACGAATTCT